TAGAGTGGGCGAATGCAGCAGCTTCGTTGCTCGCCGCCGTGTTGATAAACGGCCGTCGGCTACGGATAAAACCGTGGCCGCCCCCGCGTACGGAATTCTAGGGTGTTATTTCGCTCCGCGTGACCGGCATCGAAGGAAGGGGTGGCCCTGTGCACAACACGTGAGGACGCGAATATTTCACGGGGCGCGTCGATGAACCGCCAGCGAATTGCTCGCTATCCGCGAGAAAGTTTCTACATTTTGCTATTCGCAACCCCGGAAAAACGTACGGTTGCTGCAAAAGTTATTCGTACGCTGAACTTCCGATTTATCGACGGATATTCGATTAAATCGACTTGATGTTGACGAATTATGTAACTACCGGACCGCGGATTTTTGTGCGTTTATGGCAAAAATTAATAGGACCAATAGAAAACTGTAACACATTAGGAGAATTGGAGGATATTGTTGCATTATTTTAAATAATGTATATTATGTCATATATTTTGTATATAATATATAATATATATTATTATATATAATAACATATATACATATAATAATATATATATAATATATGTAATGTAATTATATATAATAATTGTATATTATATATAATATATAATAATATATAATAATAGGTAATATAATAATATTTATATATAATATAAATATATATAAATTACATAAATTATATATAAATTATATATTACATATATAATAATATATAATAATATATAATATAATATATAATATAATATTATATATAATATTTATAATATTATATTATACTATTATATTTAAATAAATATATATCTATTATATCTAAATAGTAAAAAGACTATTATTGATAGAGAAAACACATTTTCCTCTAGCTTGCATATCATACGATTAACTTGAGTTGCTTTTATCTTGCCCGAAGATTATAGTAATTACCGTTTCTCATAAAAACTTTATATCTTGTTTCTCAAACTTTAGCGAATTGCATCAGCAATTTCCGCTTCGGCGTAACGTTTGCGACCGGCACTAAAAGGGTTTAATCCCTCGCAGTCGCATGTCGGGCCAGATTCGACAATAACTTTCGCGCCGATAGTCAGTTGTTTCGCAGATTTGCGTCATATTCGCGACTAACGTTGCTACGATCGCTTGGCATTTAAGTACAATTGTAGTACTTCGCAACTGCTCCAAATAGGATGTGAAGTTACGTATGGGAACGTAATTGAATCACGTAATGTGCTATAGCAAATTCGAAAATGGAAGGGAGAGGAGAACCGCAGAGGTGTTTCGAGTTCGAAGAGCCTCTACCGTTCACAATTCATTTCTTTTCGAACTGCATTTGCACGATGCAGCGGACGCAAGATCGTCGGTTCTATCTAAAATGCTACAAATTTGAAACGCCGTTGAAATATATAAATATATATAAATAAAATAATATTAATTTATATATTTATATAATATATTATATAATATTTATATTATATATTTATATAATTATATATAATATTTATATTATATATTTATATAATTATATATAATATTAAGATTATAAAATAAAATTATATAAAAATATATAAATATATATCATATACAAATGAGTTTACCGTAGACTTAAATTCCTGGTTGGTCGAAGCTCGATGAAATGGCTAACAGCAAGAGAAATCGTACGCCAAAGTATAATTGTTAAAAAGGAAAGCTGTAAACAGCTGCAAAGTGGAAGCTTCGATGTGCAAATTGCGTGTGACACGAATCGGTCGGGAAACAAATTTTCCAATCTATTTACAGATAATCGAGTCCGTAAAAAATGTCAAGAAAGAGCGCGCCTCCAATTTTCCACCTACTGTTAAACATACCATACTGCAAGGAAATAAACGTTCGTATTATCGTCGAACAATTTAAGCCTCCTCGTAAATGATAATAAACTCGTTTTTTTCTACAAATTATTAACGATAAGGTTACCGCAATTATGACATTGTATACAGGGATTGAGGATGGTATTGCTAACACCATCGATTATCGATTGTAATTTTCGCTTGTTGGTTGAATAATTTTTTTTTTAGGAAAGAAGCGAAATAATGTTGCGACGGCGAGCCGAACGATAAAAGTTCTTCCGCGGCGAAAGAGTTTTCACGTTCGCCGAGTGATTAACAATCAGCCCTTATCTGTTCGCGAACGATTTACGTGATTCAGTTGCATCCGATGATTACAGCACGAATGCGACGCCTTGTTACAGTATCACTCGAAAGCGGATTACGCTGTGTTTTCGCATAATAGGATTTCATCGACGTAACAAAACCAATCGGGAATATCGGGCCTGTCCCACGATCCGTTCAAATACTGCGGGAGAATATGTTTTAAATGTTTGCATATTAAGAAAGCGAATATTAGCGATGCCGGTGTATCTGTGGTCAACGATATTGCTACACTTTTTCGCTGTCAAGTGTGCGGGCACTCGACGATTATTATTATTATTATTTTCACTTACTAGTTGAATAATTTTTTATTCTTCTTCTACGTGTAGCAGATTATCATTATTATTATATACACTACTATTGTTGTTATTATTATTATAATTATAATTTTCACTTACTAATTGAATAATTTTTTATTCTTCTACGTGTAGAAAATTATTATTATTATTATACATACTATTGTTATTGTTATTATTATTATTATTATTATTATTATTATTATTATTATAATTTTCACTTACTAGTTGAATAATTTTTTATTCTTCTACGTGTAGAAGATTATTATTATTATTATACATACTATTTTATTATTATTATTATAATTTTCACTTACCAGTTGAATAATTTTTTATTCTTCTTCTTCTACGTGTCCACATTTTTTTAACAACTACAACTCCTTCCGAGATAACCCGCTATACTCGCTTAAACGAGACACCCTGTATTTAAGGATACATTGGAAAGCGGTATAATATTTTTTTCGAACTGGCAACCAAGGATGATTCGATCGAACCGTTTGCCGGACGTCGCCGTCATTTATTGTGCGTTTCGTTTGTCAGTTATTGCGACAGACGATGAGGTTCAGTAACGAGATACGCGCAGCTTCGTTTCCGCCGGCCCGAATTGTTCCTTCAGTCGCAGACACGTCCGCGCGCAACCCTTTGCTATCATGCCTTTAGCACGGTCGGTTCCGCCGAAAAGTCACCCCGACGAGCGTTAGCCGCGGCGAATTGATGAAACGCGGAACACGGCAAAATTTTCTGAACGACGCGTCACGGCAAATCGAACAACCGGAACACAAATGACCAATCCGCTATACGTTCGCACGCGTGTGTTGTATCCCTTGTAGAAATCATCACCGATGCTCCGGCACGCTGAACGTTTTTAACAGGCACCGCGCGACCAAAACTCTAATAGTGTTCTTCCCGCGAATGGACAAGAATAGCAAGCGCCACAAATTCGTGTCACCAATCACTGTTCTGAACCGGTCCTGATGGCTGCGCTAGGTTCCACAAATTGAAATGGTTTGGCTCACCGAGCATAGGTTTGTGTGCTGTTGAACCGGTGTTCTTAGCTCGCAAGAGAAACGCCGTGTTTCCGGCGGAGAAGTTCATAGAGAATGACTGCGAATCGTTAGGTCGCGATTTTGTTGCCAGTGTTAACTGTTGCTTGAACTGTTTAAAGGATGTAAATCGTCCTCTAAAAAGTTCGACTGCAAAACAGTGATTCTAAAAATACTTAAAGATAGAGAGAAAATATTTTTACAAAAACACTGAATGATTCTTTGCATATGAAAATAAGTCGTGAAGAGGTGAAAACTGATAATCCACCATTATATGATTTTAATAATTTTTTAATGTTATTAGGAGCAAAATATTCAGAAATTAACTCTATTTATACTGTAGTTACTCTAAGATAGTAACTATAGTATACTATATTATACTATATTATAGTATATATAATATATAACTATATTATACTATAGTATACTATAGTTATTCTAAGATAGAAACTATAGTAACTATAGTATACTATATTATACTATAATATAGTATATATAATATATAACTATATTATACTATAGTATACTATAGCTGTCTCTTATACACATCTAGATGTGTATAAGAGACAGATATTATAGTATATATAATATATAACTATATTATACTATAGTATACTACTGTCTCTTATACACATCTAGATGTGTATAAGAGACAGATATTATAGTATATATAATATATAACTATATTATACTATAGTATACTACTGTCTCTTATACACATCTAGATGTGTATAAGAGACAGATATTATAGTATATATAATATATAACTATATTATACTATAGTATACTACTGTCTCTTATACACATCTAGATGTGTATAAGAGACAGATATTATAGTATATATAATATATAACTATATTATACTATAGTATACTACTGTCTCTTATACACATCTAGATGTGTATAAGAGACAGATATTATAGTATATATAATATATAACTATATTATACTATAGTATACTACTGTCTCTTATACACATCTAGATGTGTATAAGAGACAGATATTATAGTATATATAATATATAACTATATTATACTATAGTATACTACTGTCTCTTATACACATCTAGATGTGTATAAGAGACAGATATTATAGTATATATAATATATAACTATATTATACTATAGTATACTACTGTCTCTTATACACATCTAGATGTGTATAAGAGACAGATATTATAGTATATATAATATATAACTATATTATACTATAGTATACTACTGTCTCTTATACACATCTAGATGTGTATAAGAGACAGATATTATAGTATATATAATATATAACTATATTATACTATAGTATACTATAGTTACTCTAAGATAGTATTAGTGTCCTTACTGCTTACTGAAATAGACAAGTTTAACTCTACATAATAATCTTTAGGTATCTAGATGGGTAAAAGCAATATTTACGCATACAAATTCTTTATTTTAATTTTAAAATTAGATTATAGTCTCAGGATGGTCAGTTAGACGTGGTCCATTTTGTTACAGAAACATCCAGGATATCATCCAGAGGGAAAAGATCGGTGTACAGCAAAGGTGGCGATAGTAGGACATTGTCCAAGCGATTTATAAACGGCAACACCATCACTTTCGCACGGTATAATCGTTTGTTGCGAGCAACCTGCGAGTTAACCACTCCAACCTGGTACCCAGGCATTCTTAGTGGCACAAGCAACGGACAGGCAGCGTGTATGATCATTGAAAACCACCCCCCTCTGCTCACCAAACCGAGGCAATATCTGTATCAAGATACCACCCAACGATTTCTGAACCATCTGGTCCTGCCTAAGCACAGGACCTCAAAATTTTCCAGGTTAATTTCATAATTTCACTCTTCCACTACTGTAAAATACATTGTATACATCGAAATAGTGGTACACAGGTACCACAAATAAGCAGAAATCTCTTTGTGTGCTGATCATTAGATCGAGGTCACCCTTTATGAATTCATTGTATTATTATTGCCGGGTACAGATAAACAGGATTTAATCTTGAAACATGTACACAATAGAATTAGGCAATGTTTACTCGAATTCCTTTTTTTTTCTTGATCCTATACTACTGTAACATGGTATCCTGTAAGAAACTTTCATCGCAGGTCAGATCCAAACTTGATGAATTTTTACCATTTACCGTCCTCTTATGTGAGTATTTTTGCTATTGGAATTGGATGACTGATTAAATAAATCTATTGCAGTAATAGGCATCGGAAGCTACAGTCGTTCAGAGAAACGTGACTGACGTCGGTGGGTAGTGCGGCTTGCCTTACCGCAGACAACGAAAATCACCCTGACTCGACACGTAACGAGCTACCATCGGGTAGCCATTACCTGGCAACGTCGCTGTACAGTAATCAAACTGCCGCTGGGAAGCGTGGAAAGTAGATCCAGAAGGACGAGGACGAAGACGTTACCTACCTGAACCAAGCAACGATAGAGGTCGAAGAGACCAGAGCAAGAAAGTTAGTAAACAACAACCGAATCACGGCTTGAACCGTCGCTCTCGTTGCGCGTTCGCAACGACGTTCCATCTGAGGTTGCAGTCGTATTCGAAGGGAGATATTCGATCAACGGGTAGGAACCGACAGGACAGTCACCATGGGGAGCGTGAACGTGAATCGCAACGTCAGCGATGCGTTTTATCGCTACAAGATGCCGCGGATCCAGGCGAAGGTCGAGGGCAAAGGTAACGGCATCAAGACCGTCATCGTGAACATGGTCGATGTAGCCAAAGCCATTGGCAGACCCGCCACCTATCCTACCAAGTACTTCGGCTGTGAACTGGGAGCGCAGACCCAATTCGATTTCAAAAACGAAAGATTCATAGTAAACGGTTCTCACGACGCCATTAAATTGCAAGACCTCCTCGACGGATTTATTCGGAAGTACGTCCTCTGCCCAGCCTGCGATAATCCTGAGACCGAGCTGGTGGTCAACGCAAAAAAGTCTACCATCTCGCAGGGATGCAAGGCGTGTGGCCATCATGGATTATTGGAAAGCAACCATAAACTGAATACCTATATCTTGAAGAACCCACCGAGTCTGAATCCTGCAGTCCAAGGCAGTTCTTTAACGGAGGGGAAACGCGGAAAACGTTCTAAACGCGCAAACGGCGAAACCACTACCACCACCACCGCCACTGCTAACGGTGATCGATCTGGTTCGCCGGAGAACGAGACCAGCGCGAAGGATATCGTGGTCGAAGTACCTCAAAAGATTGCCGATGAAGAAGGGGACGATGTTAATTGGGCAGTCGACGTGTCGGAGGAAGCAGTCAGAGCTCGTCTGCAAGATCTGACAGAGGGAGCGAAGGGCATGACCATCAGCGATGATCTCGATAAGACTGAGAAAGAGAGGATGGATATGTTCTATAAGCTAGTAAAGTGTCGTCGGGATGCCGGCCAACTGGACAACCATAAGGAATTAGTCGCCGAGGCTGAACGGCTAGAGATCAAGATGAAAGCACCTTTGATCTTGGCCGAGTTACTCTTCGATCAGAACATTGCTGCTCAAACCAAAAAGTATCGAGTACTGTTACTCCGTTTCACCCACGATGATACCAAGGCACAGAAGTATTTAATTAGAGGAATAGAGCAAGTGATAGCCCTGCACAAAGATTCATTGATGCCCAAAGTACCCGGAATTTTAAAGGTAAGAAGTGTTCCCGAATTTTGTACCGTTTAATCGTGTAATTTTTTAAACAGTGATTATAAGCATAAAAAAATATGAAATTCAGCCACGAGGAATATATAGGATACACGTAGATAATTTCAAGAAACTCTTTGTCCACAGCTCTTTTATGACGCAGACATTTTGGAAGAGAAAGCTTTATTCGAATGGGCAAGTAAAGTTACTAAAAAGTATGTATCAAAAGATTTGTCTCAAGAAATTCATGATAAAGCTGCGCCGTTCATAACATGGTTGAAAGAAGCCGAGGAAGAGGATTCAGAATCAGAAGAAGAAGACGACGACTTAGAAGTCAGTATTTATGGAACGGATGATATTTTCATTAGAATCAATTTAGTGGTAAGGTGACTGATCATAATGATTTTCTTGTATTTGTAGATTGAATATGATGATAGAGCCAAACAGTCATTTAAACCACAACAGTCACCGCAGAAGCCTGCTGCTGTCAATGAAGATTCGAATGATGAAGATGATTTTGATATCGATGCCATTTAAAGATACAGACATGTTCAATAGTCGGACATGAAAAATATTATAATATTATAGAGAGAAGATGGAAAAAAAATGTGTCCGATAAACAATGATTAAAAGATCATTTCTCAGATGATACAAAGAGTCGCAATGCAATCTCTTATTATACATAATATTTTGTTATTTTAGGCCAAGGAATGATTATAATGCCATTACGATTTGTGAGAAATTTTAACTGTTTTGCGAGTTTAGCAATATTTATCTTGTACGGTAAAAAAATACTTTTAATTGTTTTTAAACTTTGAGGTAATTACGGGTTACCTAATATCATTATTACTAATTATATTATTCAAAGATTTTTGAAAGGAACGATGCTTCTATGCCTTGATAATGCATCTCTTAGAAAGGAACGGAAAACGATATTGATAGTTCAACATCGTTATTGGGAAGTTGGCCTGCTAAAAGCGTTCTCTATTGTATCTATTTACTATTCAAATAATAATTATTCAAATAAATATGGTTTACTGCAATTTACAATGGTGTACATTTAATCGAGTCCATGTTATTCTTAAAGAATAGTTTACAAACGTGTTGGTATTATTTTATTTTGTTTATACCAATGCCTTGATCCTAATCGCAGATCCTTCAACTTACGACATATACTACATCGGTATATAATTATGTAATGTACAATACTTATTATTCTATAGGGTGGTGTTCTCACAACCCGAGGTTCGTCTCTCTACCGTTGACGGCGCTGAGATAGTATTTCTTCAAATCTTACACACTGACTGCATATAGTGCCTCTGTAGCTAGCTTTTTCGTGCAACACAGCTAGAACTTATACATTTTTTATATCACACAGTTATAAGTATGCTTATTCGGATTCATGAATTCGAATTAAAAGAATAATTATGTATAAGATTTTAATATGTAATTATTAATGCCGATACATATCTACTTATGAATAGTTGCTACTATAATACCATTTACAAGCTTCAACATTTATCACGTTTTAAGACTGAAAATTTCAGATCTACATAATTTTATATTACATAGATTTTCACTTTTCTCCAATAGGAAACGAGATTCAAATCCTGGACAGGTACGCATGTTTGATTCAAAAAGTATCCGTGTTATTTAATATAAATAACGAATTTGTTAGACGTAGATTAGGTCATTTGGTAAATTCTGAATCAAATTCAGGATCACAAATGCTGTCTTTAAATAAACTATCGGGAACTGTCAATCGGTTGTGTAGAAATTATTTGAGTAGATCTTTAACCTCAATATCGAATGAAAATGCAGAGGTTAAAGAACAAAAAGGTAAATAATAATACGTAAATAATAATAATAAGTATTTTATAATACATTTATACAGTTTTATTTGCATCTGTTTTTAGAAAAGAATATTTTAACAGACCACTATAATGGTGTGGCTATTATTAGTATAAATCGTCCTGACAAAAAAAATTGTTTGGATGTTGCTACTACGCAAGAATTAGTAGAAGAATTAGATAAATTTGACAATGATGAAAAGTCTGTCGTTGGCGTGCTTCATGGAGTCGGAGGTAATTTTTGTGGTGGCTATGACTTGAAAGAAATTGCACAATACAATGGAACGAATGAAGAAATTTTACCTCAATTTGGACCATTGGTAGGCATTCAAATTCATATGTATTGCATATGAGACATTCATTTTATTATATTCATTAATTCATTCATTAATTGATAATTATTTACAGGGTGATAAAATTGAACTATGTAAAAAGCCATTAATTGCAGCCATAAATGGTTATGCAGTCGGAGTAGGATTTGAACTTGCTTTAATGTGTGATTTAAGGGTAATGGAGGAAAGTGCAGTAATGGGATTTCTAAATAGGCGTTATGGCATTCCTATATTGTGTGGTGGTACTGTTCGTTTGCCAGCTTTGATCGGCTATTCAAGAGCAATGGAAGTCATTTTAACTGGTCGTGCTATTTTTGCAAAAGAAGCATTTAATTGGGGTTTAGCTAATCGATACACAGTTCCTGGTGCAGGTATAACTGAATAGTTAATAATTCACAATAAATACTTATCATAATATAAATTCTTCTAATCTGGAGGCGTCTGTTTATTTTCAGTCATAGGCACTGCAGTTAATTTAGCTAAATCATTAGTTAAATTTCCTCAAAAAGTAATGCTCGCAGATCGTGCATCAGCAAATTATGCTACATTTTCTGCTAAACAATTAGAAGAGGCTTTACAATTTGAAAAGAATAATAGTTCTCATCTACTATTCGAGGATGGCGTGAATGGGGCAAAACGATTCGTAGCAGAAGGATTAGGAAAACATGGAAAGTTCTATGATATAACTCCACAAGATATGACTATCGATGAACTTGATAAAAACCTTTTGTGAAAAATTGTCTTACTTTATGTAAATATCATTATTTTATATATAAAGATTTAAAATATATGTTCAATATAATTTTATTAGTTTATTATAACTAGTTGTGTGGAATCTTATTTTTGTTGTTGTTTTTCTTTACTGTAGATTTAACAGAAGGTGCCGTCTTGTTTGTAATTTGAGTTTTTAATATTATGTCTGTGCATTTTTTTGCATCCTTTCCACTCAGAAGTGGCAAGAAATTTACGATCTTACCATCTGTGTCCTCTGTGAATGAGATATTTAAGTTAAATAGTATTTTGAGTAAGGATGCTATACTTACGTTCATACATGACTATCAAGTAAGTTAAACCTGCTTGGAAGATGCTCAAACCAGAAGCATGAGGCTCATAGAGTGAAACGTTTTTTAGACGACAATGATCTTCATCACATAAGTCGAATTCATCTGGTAGTATTTATATTATTGTATTGCCACAGCAAAAATAGTTTGAGACTTTTATCTCATCTCAGTATAATAATTAACCTACCTGTTTCATTTAATCCCACAGTACTTTTAATATACTTTAGTATCAGTTTAAGTGGACAATTGATATTCACCAAGAGGATGTTTTGAGTTGCATCAATATCTGCATATTTCTCGCGAACTGAGGCTATACATTGAACGTATAATTCAATTTATAATCGGGTGCGAATAAAAAAAGTGTTCTTACCAACGTATTTAACTCTAATAATCGATGCCATAATTCTAATCATGCTATATGTGAATCATGTAACGACAAATGTTGAGAGTGAACGTAACGCCAGTTCAATAGATATTTTAAATTAAAAACTACGAGATTAAAACAATTCAGGTCGAAGTTTCATTGTTGCCTAGCAGTGTTTCAGCAATATACTTACATTTTTAACTTTTAATTCCATCGACCTTAGTAGGACACGTGTCTCAGCGATCTTTTCTGATTGCCAGAAGGACAATGCGTGTTTTGCAGATGCGTTATCTTGCACTAATCTAATAAGGGTGATTAGTAGCATCCAATGACATACAGGATAGCTATTGAATTGCATAGTAACTATGACAAAAATTTCGTTCTTTACATATATAAATCAGCAATTTTTCATAATTTTCGCATTATAGGCGAATCACATTTGCATAATTACATTTACATAATTTATGTTAGTTATTCAGGATATATTCTGTACAGTTATTTATAATTTATGCATGGACGATGTATTTTTACGTTTAAGTACACTCTCGTTGATTAATTCTCAAGGTTTGCTAGATAGCAAACAGTTTGGTTTAGTATAATACACGTATCTTGTAACAGTTACGAGATTTTTTCGGGTTCTTCATAGCTGTTTCAGTCGGAACCGATAAAAATTATGCATAAAAGTCATCCTAAATTTACATCATCGTTTATAAATATTTTGTTCTTTGAAAATAAATAATTCTTACAGAATGTACTTAGTATGTACTTAAATTATGTCACAGGATACTTTATTGATCTCTCACGTTTTTTGTGCCATGTCCAATCGAATATGTATATATATAAAATAATAAAAAAAAATTAATAAATAATATATATATATATATTATTTATTAATTTTTTTTATACTA